ATTTAACAAAAAAATGCTTAAAGGGGTTGTAAACCCGTACTGATACTGACTGGCCTCAGGTGATACACACAGGTAAAACAAACCATTCTATATAAGTTGTACCTGTTTATCTATAGCAATCCTTCCCCTATATCCACTCAAAGTGCAGAATTTACGCAGGACCTCCCAGCACTGAAAATCAGGGGTTGGAGAGCGAGGGAGCTCTGAGAGCTGATTGGAGGGAAGGGACCCCCCCCCCCCTTCAAAAAGCACACAGGGACAGAGCTGAGGCTGTTAATCACAGGCTGTGCCCTCCCCTGCCACCTTTTTTCTCTTGGTGTCAGGAAAACTCATCCAATGTGATTCATCTTTATAGCAGTAGAATGAGGCAGCAGACAGAAATGATAGTTAGTGCTCTGGAGTGAGGCAAGTACACACTAAAGAGGGAAATTTTTTGTTCATATTTCATGTCTGAGGTTTACAACCACTTTAAATGATAAGTTCACCTTTAAGGACAAGGTAAATGTTTCACCTGTATTTAGGATTTAACAAGTAACATGATCCTATTTACCTGCCTCCTATTGCCAGATCCCCCATCCCTGTGACAGTGGGTGGGGGATCCTTTCTCCTGCAGCTGCCGTATTATTAGATATCACTGTGGCTGTGCGGGAGCTGCCTGCACAGCTGTGTCATTCATTCAGAGATCTATGAGTGAATGAAATACAAGTCCTGTCTCCCAACACAGGTTGCACTTCTCTATGGAGTATGAAAGTGCTGATCAGTGCCCTTGAAGTTTGACACTTTGTACAGCTCTGAAACTGACAGCCCGTACAGAGGTATGGGCAGAGGGCTGTAGACCATGTCTGCAGGAGCCTGACATTTCATCTGCAGTCCACTTATTCTGGGTGCAATGCTTTGCAGGCTCTGGCCGAAAAAAAAAAAAAACAATAAATGTACATTTTCTTTCCTGCAAAAATGTGTGCATTTATTATTTTATTCATAAAGATACCTCTTTAAGGAATTGTAACTTATCAGTTGGAGAACCCCTGGGGCCTCATTCAGTTTAAATCTTTAAGATGGCTAAAATCCATAAAGGAGGCTTACGAGGGCAACACTAGGCCCCCAGAACACCAGTTTTACATTCAGATCTAAGGAAAAAAACAATAAAAAGGACTACACTTTGCCTATTTTCCAAGGCAATAACTACTGAAAGGAAATAGTTTATTGCTGTCCATGGTGCTGAAATGCAGTGTACTGTATATATGACCTCCATGGTGCTGAAATTAAGTTGTACAAATCAGACTGAATTTATTTCATGAATATTTATACAGGTCTTTGTTATGTACTATATGCAGTATGTTTTTCACAATGTTCTATAGAATCACTGATTATTTTATTGTGGTTCATGCATGTTTAATCAAGCAATGTTATCTTTGTGTATGCATGATTTTATGATTAAGAATATGGCTTTTATCTTCTTCGACCTTCTTGTGATTGTGTTAGCTCTATAATTATTCTAAGTGCCCATGAAATGCTATTTTCTTTCATTTTTTAAAGGATAAGAAATTAAAGGTACATTCACAATATTAATTTTTGTATTTCCTCCTTATAATTCTCCGTTAACAAATACAGTTTTTTTGATTACTCAAGGTAAAATCCCTTTCTCTGGGTTAATTTATGGACACAGCCTCTCTTCTTTAATCTGGATCAAACGTGATTTTATAGTGCCACCTACAGGAGTAGGAAACTAGGCATAAACGAACTCGGCACCTCCAATGGACCGTCTTTCTAGTATAACTCTCCATCTGCTATAGGCAAGTCAGAAGGAGAAAGGGGGTGGATAAATAACCACCTTTTCCCTGCACCAAGCAGCAAGGGAGACATACAGGACAAGTTACCAATTGCTACACCCGCCAAGCAGGAGAGATAGCGACCAGGAAAGTAGCTTTCTAGGATAGCGTAAGCAAGGGATTTCCCAGACACTTATAAAAATAGGCTTTCGAAGAACTGATAAAACCAGATGCAAGTTGCATGGCAGTAATGGAGAGTGCATGGACGGCGTCACACAACGAACCCCCTAGATAAAGGTGCAGATTAAGGAATGCGTGGCCAAAGGAAACTGAAAGGAAAGAGCAAGGGCAGAGACTTAACCATTAATAGTACGCTTGGCAACTTCTAAACCAGAATGAAGGAAGGCCAACACCCAAGCCACCAAGAAGGAATGAGGATGGAACCCCAAAGCTTAGCTCCAAACAATATAAGCTCCCCAAGTGGGATGATAATACTTCCAGAAAGTAGACCTACAAGCCTACAACCTTATTGGAATCACTGTTCTAGACAACTTCCTGTCCCCCAAAACCTGGCTTCTTAACAGCTATGCCATTAAAGTCAGGGATAGTAAGAAGGGAGGAAAACCAGCCTAAGGGACAAGAGGTTCCTCTGAAAAGAAACCACCAGGGAGCATCCATGACCAGTCTCACACTCTCTGCAAAGCACAGATGATGAGGCCAGTCTGGGGCCACCAGAAGAAAACCAGCATTCATTTGGCCTTTATTCTGTGCAGCAGATGGAAGGAGCTGAAAGGATGAAAGGTGAAAGTGAGATGGCACTGATCCCATGGTGCCACAGGCACCTCCGTCACATTTTCCAGAGGGCCCATTGTGTTCACCATGAACCTTTAAACCCACAGTTTTGGGTGGGATGCCATAGGATCCAGTCTATGAAATTCACCTGCCAGTCTATGACACCTGGAATGTGTGTGGCAGACACAGCTGGAACAAACCTTTCTGCATATGAGATGCCTCCAGCATTGCTGCTGTATGTCCCATACTGTCCTGATGAAGTCTCCTGAGGAGATCTGTCCAGTGTTCCAAGAACAGCTTAATCACTCAAAGCTCCAGGCTAATGATAGGCAGTCAAGCTGTTTCTGTGGTCCAGCACCATTGAGCCAATTACAAACCCAGGTCATCAGAGGACAGAGACCCTTTTTGACCGGTCCAGACAATTCTGATAGTCCATTCTATAAGGACATGATTGTTGTCTGCAGAGCCTTCATATTGAACGTGGCGTACAGTACCGCTTCAAAGGTAGCCACCATCAGACCTTGAACCAGCATGCAAAGCCATGGGACAGGATTCTGGAGGAACAAAGGCTACAGAACCACGGACATTGGAGGACATATGGGGCCAGGACACTTGGCACCACCCACTGGGTCTTCAAGGGCAATGAGCCCTTGGCTGAGGAACCAGGAGAATGAAAATCCATTCATGCTCCATGAAGGCAGGCCTTGACTTCCAACACAGTTCCTTCCCCATTATGGCCTGAATAAATACATGGCCTGAATAAATTACATTAATAAATAAAAGCTGATCATTGTAAGCATCCCTGTCAGTGGTAAATGGTTTGTCTCAACACTAACTGTTACATCTGCAGGACAGAGTGTTCTGCTGAAAAACAACAAATTTACTGGCTGGATCATCAGGTGAAAATAAAGAAAAGAAGGTCTGAGAAAAGAAAACGAATGCAGCTGCCACATCTAAGAATTCATCAGCTGCAATATGATAAATGTTTGCTTTTGGGGTTAAGGATTGGTAAGTTGCAATTTATTACATATTTGGTTTTGGGTTTAATACCACTTTGACTTTTCCTGTTGTATTTAACTTTAAAAAACTGTACAAACATGTGAGAATAAACATGTACCATGTTCTGCTGACTAAAGTATCTTTGAAGTGGTTCTTCACTATATACAGTAACTGTACTTCCCCTACTATAACTTCACTACCCTAAATAAGCTTTCCCATCCATCTTTATAGAACTTGTGATTGTCACTGTGCACTGGAACACAGGCACCAGAACATTGAATGTAAAAACTGGGAGCTGTATAGTGTAAAGCACAACATTTCTGCATTTGTAGACTGAATTTTGGTATAATAGCTGGGGGGGGTGACCCCTCTGGTTTTGTTTTAAAAAGGTACAGCTGCAGGTTAAATAGCACTTTGAAGATTCAGAAAACAACTTATGCAATTCATGAAGCATTTCATGAGCTAATGTAAAAACCTACAGATATTTACCTAAATTTTAGGGGAAATTAATAAACAATTAAAATAAAACAAAACTAGCCAACATGCAAGTAATTTATATATTATACATTTTTCTGTTGAGAGCTTTTAATTAGCAAGAGCTGGTTAAACCTGGGAATATACTATAATGCTTTTTAAAATTCCAGACAGGCCACATGTTAACTGTTGTTGTTTAAAACATTGTCTGACTTCTGCCATCAAATAAAATAGATGATCTTTATAGCTTTGTTTTTGAATCTTTTAAAATAAATAACAACAATTTCAATTATCGTCATTAAAGACAATGGTCTCAGGGTGTAATTCAATTTTGAAGAAAGCTATTCATTTTCTTAAGCTGCAATTAAGCCCTGCATACATAAGTTTGTTTAATGGTCTAAAGCTAATTGAGAACTTTTTTTTTTTACTTCAATACAATAGACTTCACATATTTTCACATTTTGGTTATCATTTAAAGCTAAAATAAAAATATTTTATTTGCCTTCCCTGGTTTCTCCTTTCCCTCCTCCAGATGCTAATTACATTTTTAAATAAAAACCTGTTTTCATTGCATACCTTATTTTAAACCCAGTGACTGGATCTCTGTGTGCCTCTGTACAGTGCAGACACAACATGGCTATTGGGACAGGCTAGCAGAGTGTTGTACATAACTTCCTAAAAACATAGCAGTGCCCTGATACCCTCAATACCCCTGTCAAGAGGCATCAGCACTGTTGCAAGTAATTATGCAAATATCAGAATGCCTTGGTAGGTGGATATCAGTCTGTGGGAGTGGGTGTTTCTAAGCACACTGCATTTGCATACAGGCTGCCCTAGACAATGCCCATATGTGATGCTGAGCCTCTGTGATTGAAGAAACTAAAATCCAATCGATGAAAGGCCCAGGGATATTAAGACTGGAGAATAAAGGGCTAGATCAGCCTTTCTCAACCTCTTTACCCCAAAGGAAATAATTTTCATGTCTCAGGGAACCCCTGCTAAGATTAGTGCATTGGCGGTCATTAGGAATAATGCCCCTTATATTGGTGGGGGTCAGTGGGAAGAATGCTCCTTACATTGGGGGCCACTGGGAATAATGCTCCTTACATTGGTGGTCAATAGGAAGAATGCTCCTTATATTGGTGGTCAGTGGGAAGAATGCTCCTGACATTGATGGCCAGTGGGAAGAATGCTCCTTACATTGGTGGCCAGTGGGGAGAATGCTCCTTAAATTGATGGGCAGTGGGAAGAATGCTCCTTACATTGGTGGCCAGTGGGGAGAATGCTCCTTACATTGATGGGCAGTGGGAAGAATGCTCCTTAAATTGGTGGTCAAAATGCCACCCTTACAGCCACGCCACTGGCTCTGTCATGTAGTGTTAGACCTAGAAGTTTGCAGGCACCATGACAAGAGGTGTTAAATAGCCACAGCTCAAGAAACCCCTAAACACTTCTGAAGACACCCTGGAATTCCATGGAACCCTGGTTGAGAATCTTAATCTGCTGTTTCCTCTACCATGCTGTCACTGTATTCCTAACAGTGCCTAAAATGGCATGTTGAATCTGCCAGCCTAAAAGTTTGAGTCTGACTGGTGGCTGTGAATAACTGTATATAAAATACACTTATGGAAATGGAGCAAACAGAGAAAAAACTGTCCATTTACTTTTGGTACCTTGAAAAGGGGGGGATAGCTACTCTTAAGAGCTGTAATTCCTAAACCCTTCCTCCAATTTGGATGCACATACCCTCAAATTAAACCTGAGTGTGTGCACATTCAGCCCATCTCCATTATATAACTATAGCTTGAATATGTTTTGGTAAATACCTGAAAAAAAACTACAGTTGTGCTCGTGTCCAAATATATATGGACCTAACTGTAGCTACTATCTTTTTATGATTATAGGTACTTTAGGAATAATGAAGCACTTCTACTTGAATGCCACTTTTAATGTTACTATGGCAGCTCTAGGCTTAGGCTATTTACAGTTCTTGTCAGATTAAAATTCAATCATATTGAAACATTGGGGGTTGACTTACTAAAAGCAAATAGGCTGTTCTTTTTGCAAGGGAATTATCCCCAGGGCTTAGTGATGAAGTTTCACCTTGTGAAGAATACCCAGTTGTGTGCAAGAAAAAAAACATCTCTAGGGCTTACAACAGTAGGTTGTTGTATGGCCATATGAGACCAATAGTTTTTATTTTAACTGTTTAGTGTTCAGTTTATTGTTTATTCTAGAGTTAAAGATTAGGTTGAAGGTATGTGTAGATAATCTTCTTTAATATTGCATTCATACAGTTGGTATGATAAGTAACTTTTTCAGTCATGATAAACTAACACTTAGTGCGGTAAAAGTATTAATGCTAAAAAACTTTTATGATCAAAAGGTATTTTTGTACAGGTTATTGGTGCTGTTAATTTTTTGGGTTTTTTTTTTATAATTAATGAATTGATGAGGTTGGATGCAAAGCAACCTTCACCTGCAGCAAAATAATTTTCTTCAATAGACAGATGGAGCAAGCTTTCTATGAGCTTTCCTTAATTGACATCTTTGTGTTTATTTCTTGTGACATCAGAACTAAGCTGTAGATCAAGGTAAGCTCCCTAAATAAGGAAGATAAGCTAATACATGGATGGCTGGCTCTCACAGAGCAGAAAATAGATATCAGAGAAGTCACCAGATAATGCTAGTAGCCACTACTACTAAACTCTTTGACCATACATAGGCTATGTACACAAAGTACTGTCCAGGAAATTAAAGCTTGGTCCACTCAAAATTGTGACCCACATAAGACACTCGATCATCCTGCTGCAGCATGAATATCATCCCTCTATACGAACTCTCCATATTTTCAAATTAAATTGAGTTTATAGCAGATAGAGTGACATTTCCTCATAAGGAACAAACAGGCAGGCAGACCTGGGGAGGATAGTGAAAAGATATTCCCAGAAGGTTCAAAAGAAATGTGAGTTGGTGAAGGACTTTCAACCCACTGGAAAAGCCCACCAGCTTCTCTTCAGTAAAAATACTCAAAAAGGTCAATGTAAAAGACTTTTAATTGCTTTTATAGACAAATATGTAAAAGTTATAGAAATAAATGTGGCTCATTTGATTAACTGATGCATTTGTTTTTAAGAAAGTCAAAGTCAGGTTCCTGTAATTTGATGGACTAGATTTTGCCTTGATGCTTTTAAGCCATCTTCACATTTGCTCACAAGCCTTCACTATGACTGTTAGTGTAAGCAACTCAGCTTAAAGCCATATTAAGCCCAAAAGCAAACCTTTATTATATTGTAGCTTATCAATTCTTGGATGTTTTCGCTGCATTAGTTTTCTTTTTATAGGCTTTATTTCCTTTATTTTTACCTGGTGATCTAGCCAGTAAGTCTGTCCTTTTTTAACAGAACAAACTGTCCTGCAGATGTAGCAGTTAGGGGTTTAATACAAACCTATAAACAGGTTGATTCATGCTTAAGTGAGTTAGATACCAGCTCAGACAGGGTTGGTTAAGGGTTAACTCTTAGTCTCTGGTTTGCAGGCTATTTGGGTTTCAGCAGGCTCACCTGTGGTATACATTGGGGAACGGCTGAGACCGGAGAGCTGCTGAGAGAGTTGCTGATGGAGCCGTTGTGAACCAATTGGTTGGAGGCTAAAATCTGTGCTGCTGCTGATCATAACTACCAGAGAAGATTAACTATACCAAGACTCCTGGGATGCCACCAGTCATGGACCATGTCCCCGATAACGGACACACCACCATACATGGACTCTCATTCAACTGCAAGGTATGCCTGATCTAATTCATAGTCAGGGATGTAGGGAACCATTTGTAATTTATCCAGTATCATGTTTGCACTACTGAAGAAGAGTAAAGACTGTTATCCTTTTTTTTTATCCTGACCTGAACTTATTCCTAAAGGGGTGCATAACAGGGATGGTGTATACAAAGAACCTGGGCCTGTAATAGCACTAAGGGGTATGAAGTATAAAGTACTACAGTACAAGTAAGCTTCACTTTGATGAAGAACAATGTCATTGCTAATTTCAATCAAGTTGCAGAGTCACAGGCAACCAGTTAAGGTGTAGTACCTTAGGAAGGTGGGGTATCCTGTGGTAGAGTGGGGGTTCCGGTTGTGCTCCCTTGGTAGCGGTCCATCTCCCATAGCAACCAGGAGCAGACCAGTGTTACAAAATAATTTTGCAAACTCTAAGCAGGCTTTCATGTGTTTTGGCTTCTGTCTAGCCACTCTGCCATAAAGCCAAGATCAGTGGAAGGCTTCACGGATGGTTGTCCTTTTGGAACTTTGCCCCATCTCCACACAGGATCTCTATAGCTCAGTCAGAGTGACCATTGGGTTCTTGGTCACCTCTCTTACTAAGACCCTTCCTCCCTGGGTTTTGCTGGGCCACCAGCTCTTGGTTGTGCCAAACTTCTTCCATTTGAGAATTATGGAGGCCTCTGTACTCTTGGGAATCTTCACTGCAGAAAAAAATTTGTAACCTTCCACAGAGTGTAAATTGTGTGTGTCTGAGCTCTGCAGGCAGTTCCTTTGACCTCATGGATTTTGCTCTGATACAGTATGCATTGTCAGCTGTGAGGCCTTTTATAGAGAGGTTTGTGCCTTTCCACATAATGTCCAATCAATTTAATTTACAACAGGAGGACTCAAATCAAGGTGTAGAAACATCTCAGCAATAATCAAGAGAAATGGGAGGCACCTGAGCTTAATTTCAAGTGTTATTGAAAAGGGTCTGAATACTTATGCCAATGCGATATTTCATTTTATAGAGAGAGGTGTGTGCCTTTCCAAATAATGTGCAATCAATTTAATTTACAACAGGAGGACTCCAATCAAGGTGTAGAAACATCTCAGCAATAATCAAGAGAAATGGGAGGTACCTGAGCTAAATTTCAAGTGTTGTTGAAAAGGGTCTAAATAACTATAACAGTGCGATATTTAATTTTTTTCTTTTTTCATACATTTGCAAACATTTCTAAAATTCAGTTTTTACTTTATCATTATGGGGTACTGAGTGTAAGTTAATGACAAAAAAATTAATTTAAACAACTGTAGTATCAGGCTGCAACAAAAAACTGAAAAAAGTGAAGGGGGTCTGAATACTTCATAAATGCACTGTACACAGTCCACTGTGTGTAACTGTGTGTACATAAGGTCAGACGGCATAGATATTCTTTACAACTGTACAGCAGGCCAAATGCAAGGTTTCAATAGTTTCAATATACATACCTTCCTCTCAGTGGTAGTATCTCAACTATTTATTGATGCCATAATTATTATGTCCATTTCACTAGCTTCCTGCAGATTGATTATTATTTCTGCTGTAGCTGTGGCTTTCACAATAATCTACATGAGTGGGGTGAAGGGCATAATTGTGTTAATATCCTCTGGGTGCATACTCTATAATAAGGCAGAGCTATTAAATCCCATTACTTCTTCTTGCCTATAGCTCCTACAAATATATGTGTGATCCACACCTTCTATCCATTGTGAACATCAATTGCTTTGCTGCTTCCATGTAGATTGCGGAAAGAGAAAAAAAAATAAAAGTCTCATTACAATATCAGCTTGTAGTCATAATCACCCATTATAATGACTGACAATTTGTTCAGATAAAATTGTATCTTTCTTTCTTTTCCCTGCAGCATGAAAGGCTTTTTATATTACATAAGACTGACACCCAATTGTTTAGTTAATATGTGAATAATAAAGTAGATGAATACTTCAACCAGTAATTATATATTTAATATATTTATTGGAATAATAAAGTAAATTAATATTTCAAACAGTAATTCATTAATTTATTGGAACACAAATCCTGTGCCAAAAAACAAGTTTCAAGCAAATAAAGAGTATCATTTAGAACAGTGTTGCTCACGTAATGGGTCGTGTTGTGACCAGGGGCAAGTGCTCCCCAGGTCTCTCTAATGCCCCTACTATCACCCCAGACACTGAGACACTTTTCAAGAGCAAGAAGCACCCCCAGTTTCCCATTAGTTCTAATTAATTTCATATGTTTTAATTACCATTTATTTTTATTGGGTTTTTACCTCAAAAGCACTTTCATTTCACTAGCGCTGTGATTACTGCACTATCCATTTTGGAAGGAAGCTGTTTGTTTACTGTTTCTAATGAGCAAATACATTGTAGAATACTGCACAAGTTGTTTTATGGAATAAATTGTAATGTTTTGGAAATTAAATTATCTTTGAGTCGCAATTTATAGACCAAGGACAAATGGTCCTGAGGTTCCACAGGTTGAGAACCACTAATCTTCCAATAAGAAACAATAAACCATGTCAGTTAGTTGAAAACTGTACTAAGAAATATG